AGCTCCATACCCTCATGAGTGCATATGTCAAGAAGTTGTTGCATTTCAGACACTGATGCCGCAGTCAGTCAGTGGCGGATCCAAGGGGGGTCGGGGGGGGGGGGGGCGACGGGGGCGGCCGCCCCCCCCCCCCAAACAAGGTCGACCCCCCCCCCCCTCCCCCCTTCTCGGAGGGCAATTTGACATGGGGGGACCCCCCGGTGCACACGAAAGAGTGGGAGAATAGTCCCCTGACAAATTTTCCGCCCCCCCCCCCCCCAAAAAAACTGAGTTCTGGATCCGCCCCTGCAGTCAGTATCACATCGTCTGCATAAGTTAGTCCTGGCAGAACCCAGTTGACGGTCTCGCCATGCTCCAGGTGAGTTAGAGGAAAGCCCAGCCATGATCGGATGAGCTGCTTCTCTAGAGTGGTCACGTAGAGCAAATACAAGAACGGAGATAGTGGGCATCCTTGCCGCAAGCCCCTCGTCACCAGCACCTCCTCAGACGTACCCTCACCGAGTTGGGTTCTAACCGTGTTACCATCGTATAGACGGTAGATGAGCGCTGTCCACTCCGGTCACATGTTAAGATCCTGAAGCTGACAAACGAGCCGGGCATGTGCAACGCTATGTAGGCCTTCGCGATGTCTAGAAAGCAACAGATAAGATTCCTTTTTCTCCCTTCGGGCCACCTCAATACATTTTGTAAGGGTATATATGTGATATTCCAATCGGCGCCCCCGTCGGGAGCCTCCTTGGAGTTCCGTCAGTAAACCCTCTTCCTCCGCCCATGCGGTCATGTGCTCTTTCATGATGTAAGCGAAAGTCCTATACACCGTACTTGTTACGGTCAGGGGTCTGTAGTGTCGAAGATAATGACGATCACATCCTTTTTTAGGAATCAGTACGACCCGACCACCCCTCCAGTGCGCGTATAAGGGACACCCTCCCGATTGTTACACTGGTAGCGTCATCCGGCGTAAAGGCCCTACCTTCCGTCGGGCTTAAATCCTGTAGTTGTGCCGCTTTCGGAGGTGAGAACACCTCTACCAAATGATCTGTAAGACATTGTCCCAGTCGCTTTGTTGGCTGCCCTGTGTCTTCGTCTAGGATAGTGAGGCGCTGCTCCCTTCCGTTGAGAGTTCCTAGGTACCTCCAGAACTTCCTACGTGCATCTCTTCCGCTTGCACTGATTTCTCTCGTTGTGACCATGTCAGCCTGAGCCATTTTCTCTTGGACAAGTTGCTTTGCGGCTTGCTTCTGGAGTTGGTACGCATGCCACTTTAAAGGAGCTTTGTCACTGTGGCCGCCAAGAAAAACCGTGCGGTGCTCCCTGTTCAGCTCTTGTCGCAATCTGATGGCGGCTTGTACTTCCGCGTCCCACCATCGCTTTCTTTGTCGTCGTCCACCTCGTTCTTTTGTAGAATGCTGCTTGATGAGGCGCTTTAATTAGTCCACATATTCTTCTTATCCAGACGCACTCACCCTCTTGCTGCTGTTCTCGAACTCCTCCACAACTTTCTCAGCTGCCGTTGGGGATAGCCGGAAACCGCCTGTCCGAGGGGGCTTTTGTTTTCTTAGTTGTTGTGTTGCCTTTGAGAAATGTAACCTTACTCGGTTGTGGTCGCTCCCAACACTATTGTCACCAGCTTCATCGATGTCTGCGTGGACAAGGTAGCGGGCCAGCTTCTGTAAAACCAAGGCATAGTCAATGCAAGTTTTGCTTCCACGGGCACTCCACGTATATTGCCCTTCACATGAGGCTCTAAGGTTGGCTATCTCCAGAGCGTTATCTTCGTCCATCTGCATCATCATTCGTCCATTCTCGTCCTGCAGTCCATCCAGTTCATGCAGGTGTCCGTTGAAGTCACCCATAATAAGAATCTCTCTTGTAGCTGCAAGGGCCTTGGCATCGGTTGTCACACAAGCCATTAAACACTGGTTCTCTTCTCTGCGCACAGTTCCTACCGACAGGTACACTATGCAAACGGCTACAGGGATACATATAGGATCTCCCCTGTCACCCAAATATGGTCCCAGCACTCTTGTGGCTCCTTCTGCCATACTGATGTATTGCGCCACACTACGCCCACTCCTCCACCTCGGCGCTGACCTTCCACACGATTGCGTCCAGCCCAACACCAATTTTCGTTGGTTGGAGCTTCTTCCAGATCACGTAGGTGCGTCTCGGCTACCCCAAAAAGTATAATTTTTTCGTCCTCCAACTGGCTGAACAACTCTTCCCATTTTTGCTGCCGTCGGGCTCTTTAGAGATTGAGATACCCTACCACCTCTGTCGGTCGTCTGCTGCATCTACGTCGCCTTTGTCCTTTTTTAATACTACTGATTCTGACATTTGCCCGCTTACCCCTGACCCCCCTCACTGAAAGCGCTTTTAAACCTTTTGCCGTTGACAGTGGTAGCCCAGCTGCTGGTTCACCATCTCGGTCACGATTGCACCCAGATCGTGGAGGGGAGGTACCACATGTGTATACAACTGGGCGACATGTGCTGTCCTTGGGGAGGTCCAAGGTCCTGAGGAAGGCACCGGGAGTCCCCCACTTGAATCTGTCCGGCGCTGAGGGTGGAGTGGAGGCATCTCGACAGTGCCATCCAAACGCTGCAAAATTGTTCTGTGCGGCCTGTGTGGACCTCAGTGGTGAAAACCCTGGAACTCCAGTCGCCGGTGGCAGGTGTATGTCCGAGTCTACGCACCGAACTTGCTGTTCGATCCCGGGTGTCGGAGTGTAGTTTACCACAGCAGGAAAAGGCAGCTGTTGTCTCACCTCCGCGTCTCTGGGGAGTGGAAAGGGATTGTCTGTCACAGTGTTCCCGAAGGGCCGCACTTGCGGGAAACTTTGTTGGGGCCTCTTTGTGTATGGATGAGCCCTGGAATCTGGCCGACAGGAATGTCTTGATGGCTTGAGCAGGCGAAATGCAGTCGTCCGGTGGCTCTTTCGGTGAGCATCGTTGAAGCCGCAAGGAGGTTTCGTCCTCTGCTCTTCGCGGTTCCAATGGTAGCGCCGCTCCAGGTTTCCTGGAGCTTTCCACGATTGGCTTGCTCTTCCTCCAACGCCTCTCTGTACAGCACTTTCTAAAAAACGCCTTGCCACTTGTGCCTGTAGTTGGGGCACCGCACAAGCACCCATTTCTCCGTAGTGCACGCCATCTTTGTCCATAGTGTTGTAACCAATCCCCAAGCTTTTTTTTTTTTACAGCTTAATTACGTTGTGTAAATCTGTTCTTGTTGTTGTCATCAAACATTTAATTTCACACGTACATCTCGTCACTTTGCAAACCTCTCGCCCTTATTCCACGCGGAATAGGCAAAGAAGGTGAAATTACCTGATCCAAAGTCAAAGTGCAACGACATGCCCAACTCTAGGTTGTGCAACATACACGTTGACTTAACTCAAAAAAAAAAAAAAAAACGCATTCCATTTTATTTTTAAGCAAATCAAACTTTATGTTTATATATATTTTTTTTTTTCATGAAATAGATTTCAGGCTTCCTGTTTACGTAAAAAGAAGAATGTGCTTCCTGAACCTTTTCTTTTCTTTTAGAATTGTTTCTCATTGTTTATGTTGTTTTTGTGTAGCTGTACAAGAATCTTTCTAAGCGATTCCGCAGTCGTTGGCTTTTGGCCTGAACCAGGCACATCTTTCGGCCTTCGTCCTATCAAGGTCTGTATCGAACGTTTTCGCTCAATGTCTTGTGTGTATGCAACAGGCGTAATCATTAGACCAGCATCAATTTTGTTCTCTACCCTCACTCTCTAAAAACCGACGGTTCGCAAATGCTCGCTATCTTCGTAATGCCTGAATAAAACGACTAGAAACGACCTTCCCACACAAAAACTAGCAGCAATATAGCGCGTAAAAAAAGAAAAAGTAATCAACGTGTATTTTCCTATGGAAACGATTAAAACTGTAACTATGAGACTTCGTTAACAGTCGTGTTTTTGCCATGCAATGAATGGGCGACGTGAACGTTTGTTCTCATCTTCAAGTATGTATGCGTCTAGGGTTCTATTTTGTCCAACCATATAATAATGTTAACGTCTTTTTTCTATAACTGAATATTCTACCGTTAAATTTTGCGTGTAACTTTCTATCCGTAATTACCCAAAAAGACGCACCTTACCCCAACAACGACAAAGACTTTTTGGTTTCGCCATTGCTACATAATGCAAGCGCAACGACTCAAGCTCGGAAAGAAATGATGATAATGCAATCAATTCAAAGGTGCAAGCGAGATAGACAAGTGCGGAGATAATAATCGCTGGAGAAGGGGAAGAAGGGGAACAAAGGACAAACACGAATCTCCAAACACAGCTACGTGACTGCGCGACCGACTCTTCACTGAAACTAAAGAGGTCCCTGGTTCAATACCAGAACAAAGCGGATTTTTTCGGTACCGCGTCACTCACATAGCTGTGTTTGGAGGTTTGTGTGTGTATTTTGTTCCCCCTTGTTCCCCTAGTTACTATCAAAAAAAAAATTTCGATGTTTCTGTGACGTCCTCAGTTTCCACATGTCTGCCGCAGCTTTGTTCTAAATTGCGATATTCAAACACTGCCACTTCAACGAAGCTTTGGTACAAATACTTTGCAAGCGAAATAATAGTTTCAGAACGTTTCTTTATTTTTTTCTTTCGGCGCCGCGCAGATTTGTGAATGGCATATATATTCAAAGCACGGTCGTGAACTGGCAACTGGCATCTAATAATCGATTGGTAAATGAATTATACCATTAAACGTGTACTATTTCTCGTTGTTCTCTCTTACAGCAGCTTTGTATCACCAAAAAAAATATATTTCTTGCTGTTATTTATTTATACCGGTGTATTTTTATAAATCACATTATCAGTTTCCTAATTGCAATATTTCTACTTTCAAAGGTTCAATGGCTAACTGTTTGTCTTGACAAATGACACGGAATACTTAAAAAGGAAAAAAAAAAAAAGATCCCCTGCAACGGATTTAGTTGGCAACACTAACGTGGAATAAAGAAAGAAATATGCCTAACATACTTAATAACATCTTTCTGATTGCAGCTCTCACAGGCGAGTGCCTTTTTTTTAGTTTCCTGGTTTTTTTGCACCAGTAAAATTATTTCATTTCTGTAAACAAAACTTTCGGCATTGCTTACACTTTTATATCAAATACACTTCAGCAAACTCAATGGCTACAAATCTTCGAGGTCCAATATTTGAGTACTCTCTCGCAGGTCTTTGCGTGAGCATCACTTGAGGATTATCTCGGAAAGCCAGGTTTCAATCAGCTAATCTAATTGGAAAGGCAAACGTTATTATCCTTCAATCGTGATGCCGTTATTGTGCCATAAGGGCGTCTTTTGCCGTTCAAACTGCGTAAATACGAAATGCCGACAACGGCACTTTTTAGTGAGTCACCAGATCAAAGAAAGACCAATGATCGCTTTACCGTAAACACCTCGGTAATTAAAAACGTATACAGTCACAAACTTTCGGGACAAAATAATCAACTTCAAGCGTTTACGGTAGGACCAGGCTACAATGATCGCACTTTTGCACTAGCAGCCTCGGTCGATTGAACCTACAGATGATTAAATTGCCAAACACTACCTGTCTACTTGCAAAGTTTGAGCGGCAAACTTAATTACCAATGAAAGGGAGCGTTATCTGGCTGTCCGTTTTTTATATTGCGTACGACAACTGGCATTTTTTCAGTGTCTAATTATAACAGCTTTTGATACTGAGATTTCTTCCTTAGTATTCCTGTCAAATAAGGTGGCAATATAAAAAGCTGCTCTGAGACTCTTCAACATATAAAAAGCTGCTCCGGACTGTTCACGTCACATCTGATTTCAGCTGTCGGTGATATACAAAGTGACTCATTTTATTTCCGCGTCGAGGCGGTTGCCTATTGTTCGCCGTCACTTAGCAGTAGCCGGCGCACAATCGTCGGGAAGCAATGGCGGCGAACAGCAGAGCGGACAGTGTCCCCGTTATGATCACGACGGGGTGGCGGTTACGAATCGAGAAAGCTTCTTGCGTGGTGCCAGTGTGACGAAGGGAAAACTCCTTCGCGAATCTGGCCACGTGTACGACATGAAGGAGGTCCGTTTCGTCGGACAAGTGAATGTCACGGCGCGCTGTACTCCGCAGACGAAATTGAACGCGCCCGCAGAAAACGCCGAGCTTCGCGTGAGTACAGACATAGAAAGAGAGGGAAGAGAGGATCCATCTCGGACCATGGGGAGCGTTAGCAATGTAATGGCGGCCGCCTCCTGCGGAGACTGGTCGCGAGTGCGCATGCACTTTCGACCGCGCGGTGAGGGAGAAAGCAGGCGCAAAGGCGGAGGCGTTTGCAGACGATCAATGATTTCGGCACCTCCTCGCAGCTCGCATTGCGAACGCGGCCCCTAAATCACGTGACCCCAATTCTGTAATACAGCCCTACCGAAAAATCCGGTATAACTTTTCACTATCCGGATTATGGAACCGGAAATTTGTTTCTGGAAACCCAAAATCCAGATTTCAGACAAAGGAATAATTTCTGAAAACCCAAATCCCAGATAGAATCCAGATAGAATCCAGATAGATTTCCGGTTCCATAATCCGGATAACGAAAAGTTATACCGGATTTTTCGGTAGGGAGGGTCTCTAGAAATGGCTGTATAGCCTAGATTTAAGAGATTTAAGTAGGGAGAGCGTTTGACATTTAATGGCGGACGCCTGCCCCCGCAGATGGGGTGCATGTGCGCATGCGTGCGGTTTCGCTGAGTGGCGAGGTTGAGCCAAGGTTGGAGACACCTGCAGGCAATTTCATCTCCTTTTCCCAACGTGTCTCGCAAACGCGTCCCGTGCACCACATGGCCCTGTTGGAGTAGTGTGAAACACTCTTAGATCTAGGCATCTGTGACGTATCTAGCTGGCACTTTGAGGCACACTCCTTGGGCATGCGCAGTGTGGGACGTCAGACACACCATTCGAAGACGCGTTTAAGGCAACATGATAAAAGGAAAAGAATATCCCGCTCAAGCGGAACTAACAAAGACGGTGCGACCAGTACAGCTGTTCATTTGAAGTTTTTTTCTTTACGCGGATCCAGTTCTCCAGAGTGGCGCTTCTAGTGGATCTTATCCTATAGTCTCTGGGTATTCTCGCTACGACGACGAAGACTCTTCTCTCGCTAAACCACCCCGACTGTCATTGGGCCCACACAAGAATGAAGAACTAAGAGGCCCGGAAAAGGAAACGGAGAGCGAGACCACCGATTCCGCGTCAGATGAACTGCAGCCGGGATACACTGGTAATGTATCGGTGCAATTGTTCCCTCCGAATATACTTTCCTTTTCTGAGATTTATATTCGAGATATTCGAACGTTCGTACATAATACCAGTGCGTCAGACAGTTTCTCGAGTAAACTATTTTCGGTCCAATCTGATTCCGGCACGAGCCGATCGGAAGGTTGAAGGACGAAGCAACGAGCTTGAAGATAACGGCGTCTGTCAGTGACAGTTTGAGTAGATCGTTCCGATGAATCCGATAACGATACCCGATAATCCACCACCGCCTTTGCGCATGCGTCGTATTGTTATGGGGTATATCGAAGCTATTGGAACGATCTAGTAAACTTCCCTAATATGTAAAAATAATCCGTGAGCGTCTACGTCTCAGCAGATTGTGCATCAGGCGGATCACTCGGATTTACAGAGAGTAGAGGAGTACAAATACCGGTTCGAATCGAACAGTGCCGAGTCATCCGTAGCTTTTTACACTTTAGAAAACCGGTTCTCGTGGATTTCTCTTCTACTGTGAAGGCTATGAATGACGCAGTGCTATTCGATTCGAACCGGTATTCGCTAGAGGTGTGCGAATACCGGTTCAAATGGAATAGCTCCTTTCCCACGCGCAGCCAGCAAGTCTACTTCAGTGATACGTCAGCGCCCGGCTGATCTAACTACGTGCATATAAAGGCACTTTAGCTTTAACAACTTAGACCGCCTGTGCATGCCATCTGTCCATCTGTCTCCCATTATTTCTTTTTCTCTCGGTCCGCGCGCAAGAAACAAATACAGTCACGCTGCGACGGCACTTACCGCGTCATATATATAGCAGTCGGATTCGCTTTTCGGCCGGCAAATGTATACCCACTAAAACTATACATTTGGTGCATATTAACAAAGTGCAGCGGTAAAAAAGAAAATATACAACTTACCTTCTGTTTTGAAACTCCACGTGCGACTGAGCTGACTGAGCCGGCAGTGTTGGTGCGTCGGCACAGGAGCGCGGGACGAGAACTACGTCATGCCGTCGACGCGCCGCTGATTATCAGTGTTGCCAAGCTGCTTGAGCCGTAGTTTCGGTTTCGCCGTGCCATCGGAACGAAACTTGGATACGCGATATCTACAAAACTATTCACACTACCGGAAAACAACTTATATCTCGTGATTCAGGGTCGCCGACTTCTACTAAACAGATCATAACCCAAAAATCGTAAAAATGGAGTGGAGTTGCCCTTTAACAGTTCTCGCACTTGGTTAAACGTTTCTTCTACATTTCAAGCAGCGGTCTTAAGGTGGCCTTTGTTCATTCGTTTTATAAACCGGAAGTCCTCTGGGCCGTCAAAGACTGGAGCACCACCTTGTGGCGTTTGCCATAAAAAGGGTCTATAGTGGAGTGGGCAATCGTTGCAGGTGTTACCACAGCTTCGCTGTCCAACTACCTTCACGGCGTGGATTGGAACCTTATTTTTTTTTAATTGACCTCTTAGTTGCAAGGTACACCTTGCGCTGTCTCTTCTTTCTTTTTGTCTTTGCTTTTAGGCCTTCAGTTCGAGATGAAAAACCAACTATAAACCGTTACAACTCAAAAAGGTAGGGCGAGGGAAGGAAAGGTTGGGGAAGAGGAAGCAGAAGGAACGCTGGAGAGGTGGAGGGAAAACCTCCTCCTTCTCTACCCAGCGCTCCGTTCGCTTCCTCCTCAACGACCTTCCTTTCCCTCTCCCTACCTTTTGAGCTGTAACTTATTATAGCTCGACTTACTATTTTTTTTTTTTTTTGTACTGCGAACGCGTCCCATCAACCATGGCTGCGATTGAGCAGTTGAAAACACTCATATCTAGGCACACTAGAAACGCCCGTTCACACACGTGCGACCAAGTAGGACCGGTTGAGACAAGACCGGTTTTTAAGCCTCTCGCGACGGCTTAAGACCTGCTCCGCAGCAGCACATCCAGTCCTATGCCGTCGCAAGAGACCTATAAACCGGTCTTGTCTCAGCCGGTCCTACTTGGTTCCAAGTGTCTGAAGAGGCCTTTAGATCTAGGCATCTGTGACGTATCCAGCTGACATTTCTGAGCAAGCTCCTTGGGCATGCGCAGTGTGGGACGTTAAACACACGAGTCGAAGACGCGTTTGAGACATCATGATTGAAGAAAATAAATATCAAAAACAAATGTGTGAAGTCCAGTTGGAGCATTTCAAGTCTCGTTCTGTACGCAGACCCAGTTCTCCAGAGCGACGCTCCTGGTGGAGACGAAAACGGCAACTATTACGACGAGGCCGACGACGAAAACTCTTCTGCCCATGCGCCGCCCCGACAGCCAACTGGGACCAACAATAGTAAAGAAATAACCGGCCCAAAAAAGAAACATGAGAACCAGACAACCGAAGCAACGCCAAACGGTGAGAACGCGGGATACACTCCTAATGTACTAGATCGGTGGTTCAGTTCCAATATTGTCACGGATGACAAGTGATGAGGCGTCAAATGACTGAGTAAATTAAACGTTTAATCGGGCGAACTTGTGCCCAAAATAAAGAAGGAAACAAAAGATAACAGTAGAGCGTCGCGGGCGTCGAAGTCGGCGAAAGAGCAGAGTCGGACGCTGGGGCGAAACTGGCTGGACAAGGTTGCGGAAGGCCTCTTATCTAGAGTGAATCACTATCTCGAAGATTCGGCGGAGAAGGTTCGAGCGTAGCGCGCTCGGGGCGAGAATTAACACGCACTTTCTAGAACAACAAAATCAGGGATGAACGATAGAAGGTATGTCCGCAGCAAGAATAAACAAGAATCTTCTATAAGTCCGTGACCATGTGCGCGGCAATATACATCCCGTCCTCGACATTATTAATCGATGAACAGCATTCGAATGAAAACAGCTGAAGAAACACAGAGCCAGTCTTGAGTATCTTATTTTCACTCCGCAGCCAATGTGATAGCGACCGATAGGAAGGCGGATGAACAAATCCGAGAGCAACGAGCGTGAAGATTTTACGCCCAGCGTTGCGACAAGAGTTTCAGTAGATTGCTCCGATGACCCCGATGGTGACACCCGATATTCCACCTTTGCGCATGCGTTGCTCTTTATCGGGTATTGTTATCTGGGATAGCGAAGGTATCGGAACGATCCAGTAAACCTGTTTAATACATAAAAATAATCCGTGAATAAAATTAATCCGCAGACCGTGCACCGGGCCGATCACTCGGATTTAGAGATGGTAGAGGTGCGCGAATACCAGTTCGAACCAAATAGCGCATTGTTATCCCTAGCTTTAACACTGTTTAAAAAAGCGGTTGTCGTGGCCTTCTTTTTACTGAGAAGGTTACGAATGGGGGGGTATAGTAATATTCGTTTCGAATAGCGCCGTGTAAATCCTAGTTTTAACACTGTTTAGAAAACCGGTTGTCGTGTTCTTTTCTTTTACATGACGCAGTGCTGTCGTTTCCGAGCCGGTATACGGTTCGAAACAAATTGAATAGCACAGTGTTATTTTGAAGCTTTTAACACCGTGTTAAGACAGGCGTTTGTCGAGGCTTTTTCTTCCACTGAAAAATTTGGCATTCGCACGGCCCTAACAAAGACCGTTCAGGAAACGACGGAACCCGATTTGGACAAAAACGGCGAACAACGCCAAAAAGTTGCAACTTTTCTCCTGCTCAGTCAATCTGCGCGGTTCGCATTCCCGAGTCAGACCACCCTTTTTAATGCCTCGCCATTCGTCCTTCGCTGAACGCGCTACGTGTCAACACCAGCTTGATTCAGACGAGGCCTGCACCCCATGACGTCAAACTAGAAGCCCGATGACGGACGGCGCGACTGTTGATGCGCTTAATCTCTCGCATTTGATAACATAGTCACGTGACCTTGTTGGCGCGGTTAATACCCAGCGGTGTAGGAACAAAGTGTTAGGTTTAGTGCTGTGGAGAGAGTACACTGCAATGGCCTTGAATCATGGAGGTGTTGGGGGTACGCAGGGATAAATACAATCGCAAAACAAAAGAATAGATCAACTAAGAGATACACTCTAAGAAATCTGGAGTGTTTACTTTCCTGAAAATCACTGGGAAGAGCGCTGCAATCTACGGTGGGAGGCAGGCGAATAGAAAGGCTGAAAATACGACGGTTTCTCAAACAATAAATTCCCTCATATTGTTGTCTCGCCTCAAAATAAAGATAGTAACACTAACATTTTCAGGTTGCAGAGTCGATGTTTCTTTCATGCATGCGCGTAATTTCACGCCCGTTGCATGAATGACGTTGTTGTAATAGTCCGAGAAAATGGCGTCTGTGTCCGACCGACATACGTCACAAGCAACGAGGCGTAATTGAGTTCTTATTGGAGGAGAAAAAAAACTATGGAAAAACTTTATTGTATGTAAGTTGCGCAGTCAATGGGGAAAAGGATTAAGGCCTCAGAAAACGTAGAGATAGAACAGCATGATCGGCTGCAGTCTGCAGCGTGCCGATGAATTTATTCGTGTGAATTGGCACATCATAAGCCGGCCATTGGCTCGAGATCATTCAGTCAGCAAAGAAAGTGCAATGCCAGTTGTCGAAGCCACTGGAGTATGCGTCATATAAGAGGTATTCCGAGAAACGATTCAGGGCAACAGTGCCCGCCCTCACACAATTCTCCAAACGCACGAGGCAATTGCCAACTTTTGTTGGACGGTACCGCTTGATCCCCCCACGGTCCTCACTTGGCACAATCATATTTTCTCCTCTCTAGGCCAAGGGAGCCCTACCCTGAATAAGGTTTGAAAGCAATAATAGCGTCATTCCAAGAGCGAGACCATGGCAATATTAGCAGTATACGAGCTGGCACAGAGAACGCATGCATGTTCTGGTTTCACACTAGCCTAGAGCCGTAAAACTGAGCGGAGATTATGTAAACAATGGTGCTTAAGCAGGAAAGGTGCTGTGATATTTGATGTAAATTTAATCGATTTTGAATCTACCGTTTCCGAGAAACAATTTCGCAACACTTTGTCAGCAACCCGTATGTTTAGAACTAAGAAAACAAAACAAAAATCTCCGCTGAGGAACCCCATAGTGACCTTTCACCACCCTCGGTGTCACAGCGCTGACTGTTTTTTTTTTTTTTCTTTTTTTTTAGGTCTAAACATATAATGTCACGGGTGGTGACTAAAAAAACAATAAATAAACAGGAAGAAATAAACGTTTAAAGTGGCGAACTTGTACCAAAAATAAACGAGTACAAAAGATAATAACAGAGCGTCGCGGGCGTCGAAGTCGGCGTAGCAGCACAGTCGAACGCTGGTGCGAAACTGACTCCGCTCGCCTTGCGGAATCCCTTATGTACCCTCGTGGGTTTCTGGATTGTTCGGCGTAGAAGGTTCGGCGCGTAGAACATTCTAACCTCGAATCAGCAAGACGGTTCTCGAATTAACCAGAACATCGCATTACAGTATCAACAAAAATCTGTAGCCGCGGCCAGGAATAGAACCCTGGCCTTCTGCGTGGAAGGCAAGCGCGATAACCGTTAAGCCAACGCGCGCTGCCTACATGGCCAGCTGCGCGCGCGGCAATATTCAGCCGTTCGCCGAGATTGCAGCTATTGAATTGTAAAAGAGTTTTGCAGAAAATTAGCCACTCCAGATTTCTTCAAGTGCAGACTATATAATCTAATCTGGAGGAGCATAAAATAGTTTACGACAAAATAATCCCACTACCACCCAGGATAGATCTGCATCATTTTTTATGGTAAAAAAAATTGCATAACAGCCCCGTGCAAGGTTGTTTAATAAGTCAATAATTTTGCGATTTAAGCACCGCCTTCCGGAAGTAGACCGCGTTACTGGCGTTTTCTTTTTGGCTTGTAGCACGAGAGTCGAATTTGACAGTGAACTAATCATTTTATACAATAAAATTCTTTAGCGTAATCAAAGTAATGAATCTGCAATGACTTCGGACGTATTGTATAAGAAGCTGAGTTGAACAAACGTGCCTGGGTGTCCCCCAAATATGACTTAGCGTTTTTGTTTTAGAAACATTGAATCTAGACCCGAATCTGCATCTAAACACCAACTCGAATATTTCCTGCCGCCCACAGGTTGATGAACCCAGTCGAACCCAGATTCGACTAGTTAACAATACTCATGATTTTCGCTATTATAGGTACCGGAGACGATTATGATGAGGACGATGATGATGATGATTACGATGTGTCTAATGTCATAACATTCGGTACTGAGGGTGAGTATATCTTGACTGGACGCCGTACTACACTCTTGAAAGCTTCTTTGTGCAATATGCGCGCGGAGTCCGCTCAGCACCAGTTATTGGTCTTCCTTAATTGGGTTCCACTGATGAGAAATGTGATCGGTCTCAGGCGAGAGCGTCCATCGGTCTCAGTCTCTAAAGGACGTCCGGCCGATACCACCCAAAAGACAATGCCTCTGTCGTCCACCTCTCCCCCTTCCCGCCAAACATCATCAATAGTGGCATGGCCTCCTTCAAACTCCCAAAGCCTGGCAGTCCAACGACGGAACCATAGAGTGCCCGGTCGCACATTTGGAGCGCGAGCACATGATAGCACAGAGCATCAAAGAGCCATTTCTCGGGGAACCTGGACGTCAGTGCACAGCTTTTGCAGCGGCGAGGACCCGGAACACACTTGTTCCCTCGGGAGAAGTGTGTTTTGGCGTCTCGCCGCAGCGAGGCGCCAGTCACGTGGCTCTCCTCTCATCTATTGTCTGCCGCTCCCCCTTTTTCATTTCGGCGGCCGCTTCTTGTGGTGATCTGCCAGGCCTTGTCAGTATATAGGAGGCAATGGTAGTAGACCCACGCAGGTCCGCCTATAGCTTGCGTCAGCATCGCCGTCAGCGAGTCTCGCAGCGTCTCACGACGAGCGCGACGCTAACAGGCGGTAACGCCAAGACGTTCAGCTTTAGTGTGTGTGTCACGTGGGATGGGATCCACTAACGATCACGTCATTCGCAGGCCTTGCCTTGTAGGTGGTTCAGCCACTTTCCCCTGAGACCTCAAGGTCACTGGCGAAAGACACCGATCGTAATTCTCAATGGCTCAAATTATTTTTTTTTTTTTAAGACAAATCTTTGGGTTACAAAAAAGCCACGGTGCAGAATTCACCGAAGAGCTACTGATAGTGCAGTTCGTATGCAGTGGAGCGCGCCGACAGATGACTAAGGTATGCATTTGCCTGCGCAGCTCCGACGACTAGTACGACGCCCAAAGCGGGAATCAACACACCAGCGTCCCAACCGATGGAAGTTGCTCTGCATGTGCCAGACGCTCCCAGAATTCCAAAAGTATGCACGGAACAGCTAGACGAGGGAGAATGCGACAGCAACGAAGAAAGCACTCCAGCGTTGCGATATTTCTACGATACTGCTACAAATTCGTGCGAAGTGTTCCCGTATAGTGGATGCAAGGGCAACGGCAACAACTTCGCGTCCGAAGAAGAATGCGAAAATAGATGCCGAGGTGAGTACTGGTAGTTTCAACGGTTTCTTGCGGAAGAAAAGTTGTCAACCAGCAATCCATGCAATATCAGATGCTCCTGGAAGCACACTGCCCCACAATGCACTTAAAATACCAATCACTGGTCTTTGATTAATAATGCAATTAAATGCAAAGGTGCAAACGAGCTGGGCAATAACTATACGAAGCACTGGTCTTTCTCCAATTCGTTAAACAAATTAGAAGGACAAGCAGTGTCGATGGGTGGCAAAAAAGGTCTACACCGGGGTGTAAGATAGACGGGTGGGGAAACGAGAGCCAAATGAGCGACCGGATTGTGTCCCCCTCGGGTTTCTCTTTTTCTGTGGCGCCATCTATGTGGAGCACCGCGAACTCTCACTCCGGGTGGGCGATCGGTGGCGACCGGCTAAACTGACGGAGATCGTTTCTCGTGGATTTTCAATGGAGGACTGTCGTGCTCTCGGTTTATTTTGCGCACTCTCCCATAGAGTTCCACGCAAATCCTATTCCGATTTTTTTTCCTCTCGCCGCAGCGCCATCTGTCGCAACTCGGGGGTTCCCGCAAGCAGACGAGTACACAATCCGGTCACGGCGCTGCGGTAGGCTTCTATGGGCCGCTTCCCCACCTGTCTATTTTACGCCCTGGTCTACACTCTTTTTGCCACTTAGACTGAATAGGGAGCTCTTATAGATCATAGTTTTAATTTTATAAACTGATTAATGGTAAGACGAAAGGATAGTATCCCGAGTACACCGCAGGGTTCGCTGAGTTTGTAAGATCTCAGCTCGGACTAAGTCACACCTTGGCCACCCCGTTCCCAAGACGGACTCCCAGAAGGAAGCAGCATCGAAAATATTGAAAAGAACGAATGTTATGGTTAACATTTGCTCAGTACGTTTTGGCTGATTCTGATTCATATCTGCCTTTTTAACATAACTCAATTTCTTTTTATCTCGGCCAGTTGGCGAAGTGTACGACAGCAAGGAAGACGCCCGACTTCCCAGAGTGTGCAAGCTGAGGGCGTCTCATGGTCACTGCGAATCGGGGCAGGAACCACAACTCCGTTACTTCTACAACCAGTACACGGAACGATGCGAGGTGTTCACATACAGCGGCTGCGGGGGCAACGAGAACAACTTCAAAACTAGACATGAGTGCGAAGTAAGATGCAGATGTAAGTACGAGAGAAATTGTGTTTTCCTAACTTAGTAATTAGACGAAATTTTTCTGTCGTCATTGACAGCTCTATAAACACCAAATGTGGCCTCCCATTTTCAATTTTATGGTTTTGTGTTGCATATTAAGGTTTTTTTTATCGGCTTCTCCCAAAATCGTGTGGGAGGCGGGGCGTTTGTAGAAGGCTCAAAACTCGCCACACACTGCGTTTTCTTTCTTTGTTTCTTATTTTTTGTTTGTTCTTTTTTGCTGTTTATAGGGTGTCTGAAATGCCGAGACTCCGTCTGGATTGGGCCGCGAAAAACGGCGCCTGCACGTAGCAATCTAAACTTTTCGTCAAAAGTGTATTTCACAGGTGGGTTTTAACCTCGTAAAAATTACAAGGCCTAGCTCCCTTTTTATACAATATAGGACCTAAACACTGACCAGGGTAACCGGCAGACGGCGACGCAAATGACCGAGTCGAGTGTCGGGGCGTGTTTGGAGCGCGTATTGATAGATGGCGTCGGGAGCAGCGTCGGAAGGTATAGCCGACCAGCCAAAAAAGCAGGCAACACGCAGACAAAATTCCTCATGGTAAGAGCGCCGTCATTACACAACCGCGTTTTCTTTTATATTTGTTACATCAAGCTTTGGTATCATTGTCCGCATTTATTTCTAAACCAGACGTACATTATAAAACAAAAATATGTTCATTTTAATAGACCATGGTCGTCGAGGTGAGTCTCGATATTTTTAAATGGTAGCGCCATCTACAAATGTGCGTCAAACGTGCCCCTCCACTCGACTCGGTGGTCCGCCATTGACCCTGGTAAGTTTTTTTGGCCGTATTTCTTACAAGAAGGGAGCTACGCCTTGTAATTTTACGAGGTAAAAGCCGCCTCTGAAATATACCTTTGGCGAAAAGTTTGGATCGCTACGTGCCGGAGTCGACTCTTGCAGCCCATTTTAGGTGAAGCCTCGGCATTTCAGGCACCCTATATATCAGCAATGATCGGGACTCTTCTTACGGAAAGATACCGAGAACTGTATATGCGCCGCCATTTATGTTTTCACGAAAGAAAACAGAAGCTTGCTGAATGCACAATGAAATGCTTTGGCTGATAATAAAACGGTGGCTATCAAACAAGTGTAAGACTGCTGGCACGCTTGAAAGCACGCTGAAGTTTCTCGTATATTGCAAAGACAATTTTTTATGCAAAACAGTTTTGTGCAAATCACCCGGATCCAAGAAGGACCAATGTGCCGTTTTTTTAGTCGAAGCTGAGCTTGAGCACGTTAGTTGCAAATAAACACTACTGAGAGTACAGACTCCGTTAGAAATAACGAAATAAAATATATAAAAAGATATTACGTGCTTATTATTTTGCAAAATTAATAAACTATAGCGAGGGTACTCAAGTGTAATAGTTGCAGGCTCGTTCTAGCTCCGTAAAACAAATAATATAGGTCAAAATCGAGATCGATTGCACATCACAAAATACTCCGGCTGGCGCAGCCGATCAGAAAACATAAAATCTCGATTGAGATGGAGTGGACAGTGCCTTCGCGCATAAAGAAATATAGGGCGATGCCTAGCAAATAGAAATTCTCGTCAAGTCACGTGAAAGCGACCTATAGATATATATTTTATCGTTCTATTCATTAGACACACCAGATGGCGTTTGCTCTCTCAAGCCGGAAAGAGGACCCTGTAGTATCAAGGTCCCAAGACACTACTGGGACAAGGAACTGGGAGATTGCAAAGAGTTCGTGTACTCCGGCTGCGCCGGCAACGGGAACAACTTTCCAGATCAAGAGACTTGCCGGAAGTACTGCAAAGGTAGGTTTCACTTAAGGGGTTGCTTCATTTGGTGTATTCAATTCCACGCTATATTTTCGAATATCGTCCATCGTTATATTAACGCGCGTTCGTAGGTACGAAGATTTAATCTTGATTAAGCAGAATTTATCAACAAAACGTCGTCTGGCACATGCTTTTAATTTCTTTTTTTTTAAGAACTTTTCATAAGTTTTAACTACGTTGGCAATATGTTTTGCCAGAGCGTATTTGGTTTGGCGTTCATGAGAATAAAGAGTAATGATGCCTTAGAAAACGGTATTTGAAAAAAGTATGGTATGTGGGGACAACACCACGAATTGTTTAAACATTCGAGTTAAACTTAATTAATTCAACGTTACAAAGCGGTCAATGTTCTACTGGTCCTGACATAATCAGTTGAAGTAAAGGCCACGCGCAATGCTTACGAAAAAATCCCAAGGACTGAGCGTTCCTATGCATTTTCTATACGACGTATTTTCGTTGTTCAGCAGTCGAACAAAATTTTTAAAACATTTTGCAATACGATTAACGGAACCAAGAACAAATGCATTTGTATTCGTTTGTCTAAAACAATTATACATCGCACCCATCGGCCTAAGTACAAAAAAAAAAATTTAATTGGTTTTTGGTATTATGTATTCCCAGCCCCAAATGTCGTTTTTCAAGAATCCAATTACCGGCATGTTCTTCAATAATATCTGGACTATTTAATTTGGCTTCTTACTATTACGGGTCAGCTTTTCTTTTTTTCAGCGCGTTTAAGAGTCGCCATTACATATTAACTTTGATTTTTTAATGTATTTCTTACAGCAAGAAGCGCATATCTCGAGTTATGGTGGAATGTTTGGAATGCGATGCAGTCCTGGGTAAAGCGAGGTGACAAATGACGCTTCATCGAGCTGAAGAGCATGCTAGTAAGTATATTTCTTAAGCATATCATCATTGGAATTAAAAATTGGACTCGACACACTAACAAATAGACGCGATTCTCTTCTGGACCTTACGTTTTTTTTTTGTTTTTTTTTTTTGTGAATTTACGATTTATACAGTTAGGGCGGCAGAAAGCGCACGTATCATTGTATTTTATTAATTTGTCATCATAACACCTTTTCTCATGACTAATTGTTGGAGACACGTACCAACGTCTTGAAGTTTTTTTGTGGTTTAGAGACAGGGGCTGCCACTGGGCAATGTTTTTTTGTGGTTCAGGTAAGAATGCGAGCCACCCCATCTGGTGGCGATGATGAGAACGACTGGAAAGGGTGTTTGGATTTGTTCTCGTCTGCTATAAGATCGGTTCTTTCATTGCGATTTTACATTTAGCATAATGTTTTTGTTGTTGTTGTTGTTGTTGTTTTCGTTAGTCCGTTTTGGAGAATGGGGACATTCTTATTGCTTCACCCTAAAGCGAACAACTTAGCCACTGACGAAAAAAAGCTTAAGTGTTTGCGGTGTTTAACGAACCCTGGCCACGTTAAGATATTAAGTTTTATCCTGTTGATTAGATGAACACGAAGTCATGGAGATGTAAATAGCGGAAGAAAAAACCTTATGTAGTTTCGTATATGGTAGAGTGAAAGGACCGGCAGTATGCGAAATAAATAAATAAATAAATATATGTTACCAACTATAAATTGAAAATTGCTCGTACGAATTGAGGCAGATACCCCATTTTCTTCGAAACAAACCGTTATATTCTTCAAAATTCTATGTCCGCCATAGCCGCAGTCAGCCACAGCTAAGGAAACGCTGAAGAAAGGCACATTCAAACTTCTCGCTTGGTTATTCGTATCGGCTAATGCCGCCATCTGATTGGCTGCTGAGCGATGATAAGATGCTAAGTACCCTTTCTGGAGCTGCACGAAACTTGCGTTGTTGGAATTGCTGGCGTCGCTCGTCATCTCGCTGTAGATTTTTCCACCAATCGAAGAATTTGAACTTGCCGGGATGAAATGGGAAACGTATGGCCGGGTTGAGAGCCGGGGCAAGGCTTAATTTCAAAAACCAGATGATCAGAACTATATAAGTTTTAAATGTAAGAAAAATGGAATGGCAACTACTGAAGACACCAATTTGGTACCATCGTCTCGACAAAAATACTCTCAATAAAAACGCTAATTGTATAAAAGTTCTTAACAAAACATTTTGTTGAAAACAATTAATCGCAATCATTTCGCGTCTTTCGACATCAAGAGAAGAGCGTTCAGGTCACCGTTCGACATCGGTCAAACATTGCCATGAATGATGTTTTGAAACCAACTGGTTTGGAAATTGTTACCGTTGATCTTCTCGGTATTCTTCGGTCTAAAATAAAACTTTTTTCTTTGTCGTTTTTGGCGTTTGAGTTTAATTGCAAGGTAGTGGTGGTGGTCCGTGACTACACGGAACGGGCTTCCGTACAACTACGGACGAAACTTCGTGATTGCCCAGACGACCGTAAGGCATTCTTTCGCAGTCGTGGAGTAATTTTTCTCCGCCTTGGACAGTGTCCGACTTGCGTAGGCGATGACTCGCTCGGGGCCTTCTTGTACTTGAACCAGCACCGCGCCAAGTAAAGCGTTACTTGCGTCCCTGTGAATCTCGGTTTCCGCATCCTGATCGAAATGTCCAAGAACAGGAGAAGTCTGCAGTCGTCGCTTCAGCTCGTCAAATGCTTGCTGCTGCTTCTCGGCCCATTCGAACTTCTCGGCGTCCTTTGTGAGGTTCGTGAGCGGTGCGGAAATACTTTCAAAATCCCGAACGAAGTGCCGATATTAGGCACGTAGTCCAAGAAACCTGTGCACGGCCTTCTTGTCTGTCGGCGCTGGAAATGCTGTGACGGCGCGAGTCTTCTCTGGGTCGGGGCGAGCGCCTTCGTTATTAACACGTGACCTAGGAACCTCAGTTTGTCATAGGCGAACCGACACTTTGACAGCTTCAAAGTGAGTCCGGCGGTCCGTATGGCTTGGAGAACAGCTCGGGGTCGTCGCAGGTGCTCGTCGAAGTCGCTGGAAAACACTATGACGTCGTCGAGGTAGACGAGACAGCCCTGCCACTTCAGTCCTGCCAGTACGGTGTCCATGACACGCCGTAAAGTTCCTGGTGCCGTGCACAGTATGAAGGGTATCACTTTCAACTCGTACAGTTCATCCGGCGTGACGAAAGCTGTCTTGTCTCGGTCCCGTTCGTCGATGCGGGGGAGTGGATAGACGTCTTTTTTCGTCACCGCGTTTAGCTGCCGGTAGTCCACGCAGAACCTAAGCGTTCCGTCCTACTTCTTAACCAGCACGACTGGAGAGGCCCACGGACTGCTTGAAGGTTGTATTATGTCGTCGTTCAGCATATCTTCAACTTTCTCCTGGATCACCTCCCTTTCTTTAGCGGAAACTCTCTACGGCGATCAATGCACAGGGCGCGCGTCGTCCTCGGTAACGATGCGGTGCTTCGCAACAGCGGTTTGGCGCACCTTCAACGACGTCGCAAAGCAGTCACGGTATTCGGCGAGGAGGTTAATCAGCTGACGTCGTTTCAGGCCCGGAAGCTTAGGGTCAATGTCGAGCTGCGCTGGTGACGTACAGTCTTGCTGAGGTGGCGAGGCTTCGTCAGTAATGGCGGCGATTTCGGCGGAGTTTCGGAGTTCCTAGACGTGGCCAACGCCTGCACCATTCGTGAGGTGTTGTGATTCGTTTCGGAAGTTCGTCACGAGGACCACAGTACGGCCATCCTGAAGTGCAGCTTCTCCTCTTGCGACGCCTATTCCTCTTTTATAGAAGCAACTGGAGGCTCCCGTCGAGCAGAACTTCGCCGCAGAAAGCTTCGGTGATCCCGACTGGCACGAAAACACTCGACCGCGGCGGTAAGTTCACGTGGCTCGCGAGGACTCGGACAGCGGATGATGTCGCTTTGGGTTCCTCCGGGGGTGAAACAGGTTTTCCTATCGTCAACCCGTTTGCTCCGAGGTCGATGACGGCGCCATACTCGCAGAGAAAGTCCAGTCTGATGATAACGTCCCTCGCACAGTCTTGCAGAGCGACGAACTTCACAGGGCACGTCTCACCGTGGATCTCGACGCGGGCAGTGCATCTCCCGACTGGTGTGATGAGGTGCCCACCGGCGGTTCGTATCTGAGGGCCTTCCCAAGGTGTTGTCATTTTTCGTAGGCGGCGAGAGAGCCTCCCACTGAAGACTGAGTAGTCTGCTCCGGTGTCCACGAGTGCCGATGCGTCGTGGCCGTCGATAATAGCGTTTAGGTTGTTGGACACCGATGCAAGGGCGTCGTTGTGGTGCGTAGCGTAAGGAGAGTGGGAGCGCTCCGTCGTTCTTGGAGGCTCTTTACTTCGGTCGTCTTCGGCAACGCCACCTCCAGGCGTTGCCGCACTTAGTTTTCCCGGCGACGCAGGGAAGACAGGCTCTCTCGGTGGGGTCGTGGCGCTGAATACGCTGAACGTCTGGGCGACGGTGAGCGAGACTCGCAGCGGAGAGACGGGGTTGAAGATGTCGAACGTCGGAGGTACTCCTCGACGTCGCGAGGGCGTTCGTCGTACCTTGGCCGCGGGTCGTTCGGGTGGAACCCGCGCAGCCCCAGTTCGACGGTAAATGTGGCCGGCTTCACCGCAATGATAGCACAACGGGCGTCGATCGACCGTCCTCCACACGTCAGTCTTTCGTGGCGCAGCTTGTTCTGGGCGGACGTACGCCCGATCTTCCTGGCGTCGAGAAAACTGCGGCGCTGGAGGTTCACGTCGGGGTGGCGCCGTATACGGATGAGCAGGGGGCGGTGGTCATCGGGTGGCTTCGGCGTAGCTCAGCTTCGGTGGGTCAGGAGCGGCGCTGACGAGAACTTCTGGCTGCAGCGCCTGCCGAACTTCTTCCCAGACAATCTTGGCGACAGAGCGCGAAGCCGGGCTTGTGGCAGCAGGTATACCTGCTGCCACAACTTCTTGATTTTCTCCCGGACAACGTCCCAGATGATGTCGCGGATGTCCGGGATGCTGCACCTGGACGGCGAGAGGGCAGCGAAGCCGGGAAGTCTCTGGTAGTGTGAGGCCCGTGCGTGAAGGGCACGTTCCATGTTGGTGGCCTCAGTGATGAAACTTTCAACGGTGCTAGGCGGGCTCCGCACGAGGCCCCGAAGATGTTTTCTTTCGCGCCCCACATTAGGACCCGCAACTTTTTCTCTTCGGGAGCGTTTGGGTCGGCGCGGTCCATGAGGTAGGAGAACGTCTTCGACGAAGCTTGTGACGCTCTCGTTTGGCCCTTGGTGTCTTGTTTGCAGAAGTTCTTCAGCACGCTGTCGTCGCTGCTGGTTGGCAAAGGTGCGTCACAGCTCGGCCTGGAATTCTTCCCACGACGAAATCGACGCTTCTTAGTTCTTGAACCAGGTGCGTGCCGTGCCTTCCAGAGCGAAGTAGACATTCTGAAGGCACTGCTCCGGTGTCCATCGGTTATGGCGGGCCACTCGTTCTTGATGTTGTAGCCAATCCTCAACGTCCTCGTGAATTTCCTCGTGGAAGGGTGTCGGAGTCCGGGGTGCGACGGGCAGGTATACGACGGCAGAAGCGGCCGGGGTCTCCGACTGGTTGGCCATCGTCGCCCTCCTTGCTTACTTAGTCTCGGGTAGCAAGGGTCCTGATTCCGGGGGTAGGACAAGGTTCCGGCGACTTGATCGTACCTCGGTCTGGTCTTCGTTGGGTTTTGGGGGGCTTGGGTTCGGACTTGCTCTGCGGGAATTCGGAGGGGAGCGCTGTACGGACATGCGGTACCCCGCACCTCCACCAAAATGTCACGAGTGACAAGGTGAAACAAAGAATAACTGGGGAAACTGAAACGCTTAATGGGGCGAACTTGTGCCCAAAATTAAAAGGAAACAGAAGAAAGCAGAGCGTCGCGGGTGTCGAGGTCGGCGTGA